CTACATCATTTTAAAAAAGTGCACTTGCGCGGTTCGTCCTCCGAGCCCTTCATATGGACCAGAAACAGTAGTCTCTCATTTCAAAATGTAGTCAAATTGACACCTCACTAATTAATTATATTGACGTGAGTGCTTCCGATGTTGACCGCCCATGTGTGAATGTAATGAGGCGGTGCACCGGCGTCAACTCGTTAAACACCTTTGTCTAATGGGTGATGGGTTTGAGTGGGCCTCCTAAACGCTGAACCGGTCATTTGGATCACATTTCGCAATTAGTGAGTACTTTCTCTGACTCATTCAAAAAGAACATATGTGCCGTTAGTTTCTCTACGTACATAGGTTCTTTTATGGATGAGTCAGAAATAGCAGTCCCTATAATTGCAAAATGCAATCCATTTGGTCTTTCTTGATTGCTACTTGTGTGGATCAACTAAGACGACGCATACACGGTGTGTTAGAGATCTAATCAAGATTTGAGGCTATGCATAACATCTGCCCACATGTTGGGCAAATGTCCCGAAGGAAGTGGACTTTTTCACAAATGGAAATTGTTTTGTTTTTCTCCCTATTCTATTTTTTTAATGTCTAACATTTTCCCCCTTTAATTTCTCTATAGAGAAGCAAAAAAAAATTTAAAAAAGATATATCTTTTTTAAATTTTTTTTGCTTCTAACCTTTTTCTCAGTTTTTAAATTTATATACCTTTATTTTTCAAAAACTTTTTTGCGTGATACAGTGCAGATGTGAAGAACCGTTCCTACGTGGTTAAGAAAGATTGCTTTGTCTTGGTTAGAGAATTTGGACGTATATTCGTGCTCTATTGTTTACATTGAAACCATCTAAAATTGATAAATCGAGGAGTCGATTGTAGCAAAAATGATGAGGCCGTTTTGAATAAACGATACTCTACTCGATAAATTTGTGAACATTTTTGCGAGTTGCAATGCAGTTTTAAAAGACCGTTACTGCGTAGTTGAGAAAAATCGTTCTGCTCCGATGGGGCAAGTAGGCGCGAGGAATAAATTAGCAAACGCTGATGCGGGCAACGTGTGGCGACCTCGTGTCATTTTTTGCTCTAACGAGTCCCTTATCCGAAACGCGGACCGCGGGTTGTCGACCTGAAAGTACTCGATACTTAGGGTGCCTTTTATAACATCAGATTCAGGACACCGAAAAACACTTCCGCAGTGGCGAAGCGTATGAATGATCGATTATCGATATTTTCCCACTTGAAGCTATGGTAAAGAATCGATTATTAATGTGTTCGTTGCGAACAAGATGTTAATCGATTCTTTTCAAAAGGTTTAAATGACAGATCAATCGATGTATCGCAAAGCACGCCACGCCACTGCACTTCCGTTCGCGAGCAACCATCCATTCTGCCTTGTCAAAGAAAACCGCCGTAAGAATATTTGAAGGTTGCCAGATTTCTCGTGATAAAATGTTCATTTTCGGGGAAATGCAAGATCATTTTTCCTTGAAGTTTTCAGCTACCTCGGATTGAATTGCGAATAAAATTCTCTGTAAAATTATGAGAAAAATACTCACAAGGCTCCCCAAATATTCTTATTTTATCGAGAGAAAATTGGCAACGCTGAAAGCTCATGCGGCGTTTTGTCGTAGCACATGACATGGGGTCGTTCCTGAGGAGCTCCATTTCTTGGGTAGGCTCCCTATGATTTGCATTGTGACCAAAGGAGTCATTAATGAAACCTTTTATAGAGCAACATGAAAAAAGGATAATTTTTCCGAAGCTTCCATAAGGTGAAATTCAGCAGGTAACTTTGAAAACAGATCCTCAAGGAGTTACATCCATTTACCGCTGGGAATAAATAACAAAACATATGAAGAAACAACATTTCTGACTGACAAAGATTTTAATACACTCAAAGTATAAGTGCCTATAGACCTGCCTCAATTTTCACAACATGCTAATTCTTTCCTTTCCTATTAGGTGTTTTTTTGGTACTAGAAAATAATTGTAAACACTTGCAATGATCTGTCTCCAAAAATACTTGAGAATTCACTGAACATTTGTAAAACTTGATAGTTTTACGATCTCAACAAACCTCCTCCAATCACATTGTTTATATAAACCGTTAAAAAAAAAATTATAAAAGGGACCGTTTAAGGAGCGCCCCCTAATACGACCCCTAGTTTGCACTGTGATTAAGAGGGAGGTCTTGACTCATCTCCCGAGCTAGATCGAGAAGTGGACGGACAAGAACGTTGATCGCATGTCGTCAAACTGTAGAATTTTTGAATAACTGCTGACTAATGGTTTTCTTTGTTACTTGGTACACTAAAAGCTGAACAAATCCACTTACAAAGACCCGCTATTATAAAACAGCCCCTGTTAACAATTTTCAAAATTGTCCCCTCTTATTTTGAATTGAGTTTTCACAAATATTTCTCCCCCCCCCCCAAAATAAAAAAAATAAAATAAAATATAAAAAAAAAATAAAATAAAAAAAAAAATAAATAAAAAAAAAATAAAATAAAAAAAAAATAAATAAATAAAACTAAACGCATGAAGAAACCACAGGAGCGATTATGCGAATCAAAAGAGACAAAATCTGTAAAGACATTGAAACACTCATAAAGCTAATTGATGATGCAACACGAAGTTTAGACAAAGTAAGTTCAACCAAAACGCCACGAACTGATGAGTGATGCGACTAACACGTGGAAATATTAAATCGGTTACAAATTATAATTTATCTGTTTTTGATGTACTAATCAGCCGACCAGTAGAAAGTTCCTGCATACCTTGAACTCGAGCAGCAAAAGAAATAAAAAAGATAGCTGCGGCTAAAAGGTCATGTTAATAATTTTAAATGATTTCTCAGAACTAATCATCCTCTGAAATAATTTTATGTTAATTAGTATACATCCGGTGATATTAATTCATCCAATTTTCTTTTTAATCACTGTGCTTGTTGAAAGTACAACTTTTTGCGACGCAGTTGCAAATAATTACACGTAGGCTTGAAATTCATCGCCTCTTTGACTTAAGGGCGTACCTCAATTACCACGTGAACCCTACGGCTCGTATAACCTCATGATTTCCGGGGCTCACACGGAAAAAATTAAATTGCCGATTTAACAATTCAATTGCTAAAAAAAGACTGCAATATTTCAACGTAGATTTCACAACACAAAAATGCCACTTTAACCAGCCTCGTGGTTAAATTAGCTTTCAATAGTGGTTTAAGTAGCATTTTTGTGTTCTGACATCTAAGTTTAAATATTGCAGTCACCTTTTTTTAGCAATTTAATTGTTAAATCAGCAATATAATTTTTTCCGTGTATGCAGAAATCGAGATACGTTCTTATGTCAGAGAGACGAATTTATTGTCAACCGATCAATTCCGGACTTCATCAATGTGTGATGTTTTTCCTTGCAAATAAAGTAGGTTGGATTAGGTTACGAAGAAAAAGTTGTTCTATATTTGTTACTTACCATTATGCACACAACCATTATACCACACTCGGCTCTTGGTAGTGCTTGAGAATTTCATAAAACTCGCCCGAGTGTTAAAACTACACATGACTGTAACGCAAATTGCATACTCACTATTTGAAGGAGTTTTTACCCGAGTGCCATAATCTCTGTATCCTGTGAGCTACGAAACGTACAACGTTCATGCAATTCATTTTACGCGCTTATTGACTTGTAGAGATGTAATAAAATACGCGTTGAAGTTGCTTTGAAGCAAACTCAAAATCAGTGTATTGAAAACTATGAGAGGATTACAGAAATTTCATACATACATACAAGTCGCTTTACAGCACTCCCTCGCGCTCTACGACTCCTAACCTCCACTGCTCTCTTTCAAACCACAAGGAAATTCATCCTCACCTACAGGACCTACAGGAATTTCATCCTCATCTAAATCTCGAATGCAACTCCTATTCATTGGGCCGGCGCCGGCCTGGCAACCAGTGACGAGGCGTGAATGCTCGACTATCGATATTTCCTCATTCGAAGCTATGATACAGAATCGATTAGCAAGGCGTTCATTGTGACACCCTGTCTATCGATCCTTTTCCATAGGTTTGAATGGCAGATCAATCGATTTATCGCAAAGCACGCCACGCCATTGCTGACAACCCATATAAATTCATTTTGACTATTTTTCTCTCTGTCATGTTTCACTCTCGTTTTAAAAATAAGAGGAACATGAAAGCAATAAGCAACAGGACACATACATAAATAAATTGCTTTATTTTCGGTAAAAACAGATTTGATTTTTTGTCAAATAACGATTTTTAGACGTTCCATTTATGAAAAGAGTCAAGACAACCTGGCTGGGTGAACACCTTTGCAAAAACTGCGAGCAGTTTCCGTTTTATTTCTTTCCCTGCTACTAAACATTCGCAGCATAGCGTTTGAGTAATTTATAAAAATTAAAGAAGAAATGCATTGTTCTCTGATCGAAAATTATGTTTTGAAAGTGACGCTTAAATGCGATTATCGAGGAATCAAAATCAGAATCTCAATTTAAAATGCAGTAAAAATATGCAGCTAGGCAGTAAGAGAGTATAGGCCTCATTTGAGGGGCTTTGAGGGCAGGGTGTATAAGTGCAGTTTTTGCTATTTCGACATACGTGTTTGAAGTCTCGAAATTACATGGATCCTCATGGTGGAAAGAAAGTTCAAACTGACTTTTTCATGCTTAAAAATTGGAATTTGGGAGCCAATTTTTCACAGAAGATGCATCAGTGGCGAGGCGTGAATGATGGATTATCGATAGTTCCCCATTTGAAGCTGTGGTGAAGAATCGATTATTAAGGTATTCAATGCGAACACCCTGTTTATCGATCCTTTTCCATAGGTTTAAATAGTAGATCAATTGGACTGCATTTTGCAATTTGGAACTATAAATTTTGGCTCATATGAAAAAACACTCATATGCATTGGGAGATTAATGGCACATACATTGTTTTTAAACTGAGCTAGAATTTATAGTTCTAAATTGCAAAATGTAGTCCAATTGATATATTGCAAAGCTTGCCACGCCACTGATATGCATTAAGAGTAGCCTTGCTTAAAATAATTAATATCAGGTTCCTTCTCAAAAACTGCCTTTATGCGTCTTGTCCTCCGATCCCCACATTTTATTTAGCAGGTTTTTGAAAAATATGAGATGGAAGTTGAAAATTCGGTCTATTTCTCCTTCGATCGTGATTTGATTATACTGTGGTCATGAACATTAATCACTCCAATTTCTCGAGCAAGTTTGCCGCTATCTCTGCGAAACAATCCCAGTTCTGATAATCCTCCATTTGAACGACTCCTTCTCGAACGTCGGAAGGGAAAAATTTATCTTCGTCTGAAAGCACAGTGAAAGTTTAGTTATTCGTTTAATTTCTCAACTTAAATCGTGGCTCCTCTGACGCAAGGGCATATCTATATTTCCGCATGAGCTCCAGAATGCATGGATTTACATTTAAAGTAGGGTTCAAGTGGAAACCGAGATAAGCCCCCAGTGCAGAAGGGCGTCGAGCTGTGACCGTCCACGGATAAAGGAACCTTATAACGCATGGGGTCAAAGTCAGGGAATCAAGTTTCTAAATTACCAAAAACCTCTGGCGTGAAATTAATTTTCATTTTCCGCTTTTTCAAAATTACCACTGCGTTTGAAATTTTAACGCGAGAGCTTAAGAAATGTCGTGATTTCATTTATTTTAGACACATCTTCACATCATTACTGCCGTGCTAAGGAAGAACGCCGTATAAGCCTTCAGACGTTGCCAAATTGCCTCCGACAAAAACCGAATCTACAAGGAAAATTGTGAATACTTTTTTCTACAATTTTCAGACAATTTTGTACGCAATTCAATCTAAAATATCTGAAAATTTCCAAAAAAATGTGCAAGAATGTCGTCAAAAATACATGTTTTATCAAGGGAAATTTGGCAACTCTCGAATGCTCATGCGGCGTTCTTCCTTAGCACGGCAGATTAGCTACTCAGCTACAGAACGAGGAGATAATTGGACTGCATTTTGCAATTTGGACCTATAAGTTCTGGCTCATCTGAAAAAACACTTATGTACATAGGAAAACTAAGGGCACATACGTTGTTCTTGAACCGGGCCGGAATTTACAGTTCCTAATTGCAAAATGTAGTCCAATTCTCGCGCACGATGTTGAAAGTCACGAAGATCGTTTACTGACCTAATAAATACATCAATGCGGATAGTATTCTCGGCGTTTTGTCAGGACCAAAAGCCGAATGAATGTCGGAAGCGTCACTTGCAAAGTTCCACAGGGCTTGGCAGATCAAAGTGGCAAGATTCCAGTTATTTTCGCATCGCCTCTCCAGGATCAAGACAAGTCTGAAACGGAGGAGAATATTGCTCATGACTTATTTTCAAACAATTATTTCGCTACGTTTTTTTATATTGGATTTTCATGCGACTCCTCAAAATTTTACATTATCGGTGAAAAAACTCCACAAATTTCAAAATGAAATGAATCGAAACGTGCGAAAACCGCTTATGTCCATTTTTCCAGTCTTCAGTTTTTTTGAGTTGATAATACTTTACGGAGTTGGATGCAACCACTAAAGTGGCGTCAACAATACTCGTCTCCGAGTTACCTAAAACTCAAAACGAGTCCTGTCATCACTTTTATGGTTGTCTCAACTCTTTAAAAAGTATTCTCAACTCAAAAAAACTGAAGACTAGAAAAATGGACATTAGCCGTTTTTGCACGTCCCGATTCATATATGAGGTAAAACCACTAGCTACGATACAGAAATCCCCTATACTCTCAGCGTCAATAGCCTTGCTAACATTTAACGCTTACTAACATTTTAGTCGTGACTGCAAAAGTTTACTTGCTGTGACGAAATTTTTCTAGTAAGCACAAAATAAAATACATCATTGAGGCAAGTAAACTTCCATTGTCAGGTAAAATGTTCCTACATGCAAGGAGTCGTTCATTTGAGCGTTATTTTCTCCAGTGCAGCGAGAAACAGCTTAAGCAACATAATGTAAGGAAGCGATTTCTGAAATTGGTCCGATTTTCCTGAAAGTCAGTACTGATATACTTATTGTATTTATTGCAAAAACTCTTACTTATCTATATTATCCGACTCTTTGAGTAATAATCTGGATTCCTGACTTGCCAACAGATTGACCAACAGTCCGGTTGCGTTATAAAGTAGTTCATCATTGGTGCTACTCAGCCAACGGGTTAACTCAGCTAAACCTGCAAGAAGGAAAGTCCGTACTCTGAAACTTAGTATTTTTGGTGATTTATTTTTAACATCTATGGTTAAATCGGAAAATGCTTTTCGAGGAAAATTTATACAGGGTGGACCAAAATTAACTGAAAAATGTCTTTAACTTTTGAACAAAAAGAGACAAAAGGTTCTGGTTTGAATCATTGCTCATTGTGACAAGGAGCTGATTTTTTTTAGGGGGGCTCATTTATGGGGCCTCCCAAGGGGGGGGGACTCGAAATTTTAAAATGACAGTACCCTTTGTGACACATCGTTGGAAAGAGGATAAAGAAAGAAGAAAACCGGAGATCAATCCAACTTTTCGTTCTCGAGGTATTCACGATCAAAGTTCCATTTCGACTGATGCTCAAAAATTGATAAGTCCTGTCTGAAAAAATCCCAAAGAGGCCGTTTACGGATTATAATTTGTAGAACTGCTTTTGCTTTCATAGTTGAATTATCTGAGCATGCAATGCTCGTCATTTGCCATTTAGGGGGGGGGGGCGCTCGCACCTTGAAAATGCGACATAGTCTGTGGCACCCCACCCCCTCCCTCCCAAAAAATAACGAAAGGTCTGGCTATCATAACTACATTATTCTCAATCGTGATTTCGAAAAATCTGTCTTAAATTTCAACAAAAGGTGGCAAAATTTTGGCAGCTGGAGTCGAGATTTGCCGTCCCGACTGTCGGAATTCGGCAGAAATTCGGCGAAATCCGGCAGAATATGCTACCGAGCATTCTGTAACCCTGCCGACTTTCGTCAGCCGAGATTGCAAATCTCGGCTCTAGCTGCCAAAATTTTCGGGTGTGGTTACTGCCGCAAAATTTTTTATCGTGTATTAGTGAGGGCGCTTGCCTCGGTGCAATTTGACTATTTTCAATTCAAAACGATAGAAGAAATTCGGTACATGCAAATTGGGAAAATCGCTTCTCTTGAAAGTAAACTTAGGATAATATTTTGGAATTTTGCCTCTTTATACACTTGCACACAGAACAGGAGTTAATGCTCGTGATAGGAATTGTAATTTCTAACCTCCAATATCAAGGAACAATTGGCGAACATGGTGACATCGAGTTAAATTTCCTAACACTCTCGTAACTTCAATTAAGCACCTGACATGATTTGACCGGATCAATGAACTGAGGCCTGGAATAATTATAAATGAAACAGATTGTTAATTTCAATATGATAAATCATCTGTAAAATTAACATTATTGTGAATGGAATGTGCTTTCTGAGAGTTACGAACGCACTGTTAAAAATATTAATAGTTTGTTCCCATGTGAGCTCCTGCTAAGTATTGGTGTGGAAAAATTGGATCCTTTTCCAAGGAGTTCAAAATTAGCCAAATTTCCTCCACCTCACCCCCTTCCCCAATGAGGCCCCAGTAAATAACAACTATATGACGCTCGGGTATAGAGAAGGAGGAGATCAACGAAGCAGCGGAGTTGATCTTAACGACAGGTCCTGAAAAAATCAAGGGAGACCTTCATAACTGAATCGGCAAAATCGTTTATGCTGCAGTCGATTTCTATTGTTAAGTCAATGTACGATGACAATATCCTTTTAAACTGTTTTATTCAAGCGAAAAAGGCCCTCGTAGATGAAACGCAAATTGATAGTGAAGATATGCAGGCCGGAATAAATGCGCTTAAATCAACCAAGCTTCAACCACAAGTGGCTGGCAGTAATATGAAAGAAATTTCCTTCCTTCAAACGGTATTTCTGTTATTTTATGGAAACGTCCGGTCACTTTAAAGAGATTTCCGGTTTGACGTAACAAGAAGTCTCGTCTGGGAATTATTAGGTAGGACAATTTCCTCGGTGTCCAGGATTTAGAGACAACCAATTCAAATAATTTCACGGTTTTTTGAAAAAGCTCACGCTCTCACAAACTGCGAAAAATGCAACTCTGACACAAAATGGCTGTTTGTTCTTGCAAGCAAAACAGCAATATGATCAATGGCGTGGCGTGCTTTGCGATAAATCGATTGATCTGTCATTTAAACCTTTGGAAAAGAATCGATAGAAAGGGTGTTCGTAAAGAACACCTTAAGAATCGATTCTCTACCTTAGCTTCAAATGGGGAAATATCGAAAATCAATCATTCACGCCTCGCCAATGACAAACATGTGACAAACTTGTGAGTAACATCTGGGCCCCCAAAATCTCTTTACCTTGCGCAATATCGAGGTAGGTTTTAGAGAGCGGTCCGTCGATGGAGTAAAAAGTGAGATTATTCAGCGCTGTTAAAATCGCAACGACTATTTCTTCGTTCTCCGACGGCGATTTCTGGTTAAGGATGGCGAGCAGAATATGAATGAACTCCAGACATTCCTGTAATTAGTTCAAATCAACCTCAGAATCTAATAACATCAGGAGAACAATTTGAGTGAAATTTATTTTCTATATTTCTCCGCGATCTAAACGAAATTCAATAAATAGCTCCATCCCGCTTGTGTAACTCAGCTGAGGGCTGGCCTGTCGTTCTAAGTGAAAATGCAGTAAGGACATTCAGAAGTTAACAAATTTCCTTCGAGAACACATTCATTTTCAAGAGAAATTATGAGATTTTTCAAAGAAATTTCGAGATACTTTAGGATTAGGTTGGGAAAAACCCCTCTAAAAGGTCAACAGATTCACAATTTTTCCACAAAATTCGTGTTTGATCAGAGGGTGCTGCCTCTTACCACACCAGCGGCCCGATATTGTTGAAATTTTGTGTGTAGCGGGTGGACATATACGCCATAGGTTAAACGGCGGAGCGTGATTTGTCGGCCTTGCCTTACCGCTGCCTTGTCGTGCCTGTCAGGTGGAATGGACGACATACTTTCGGAAACTCAAGAGGTGCTTTTGGCGTGTCTTGAATTCTACCTGGCAACGGCACGACATAGCAGCGATAAGACATAGTCATTAGTCAACCAATTACGCTCCGCCATTTAACCTATGTCATTTATTTCCGCACGACAAACACAACATTTCAATAATCGGCCCGTTGCGTGGATTAAGGCATCGATTGCCTGTCATGAAGATTCGGTGTTAATCCCTTGCATTGCATTAAAGCTTCAAATGGTTTTTTGGCTCCAGTCTTTTTAAAATGAATCAAAGCAGTGGGAGTATGAGGAGTCTGATTTCCAAATTTCTAAAAAATAAAAATAAAAATTTAAAAGAAAAAACTCTAGAAAAAATAATAAATAATTCTAAAAAAAAGTAATTCTATAAATACGGTTGTAAATTTTTTCTCCAAAATCTGATTTATTCACGCAATCAATCCGATCGAGAACAAGTAGTGCGTCGTTGCTTGCGTTTTTTGCTGGTTGTTTCTTTTTCTATGTTGCGTTTAAGTCTCCGCGTCATCTTTAAAACATTATGTTTCTATAACTATTTTAGCAAGTTTTGCGGCAAGTATAAGAGAATTCTGCCGTTGACAGTTGGTCTTTTTGTCCCTCCTCACTGTATTCTCGAATTATCCAAGATCATTTTTTCCTGGATAAAAAGGGTCGTCGATGAATTGAGTTACGTCCCTTCGTCTGAAGAACGACGAATTGTCATTAATGGTAAACTGTCCATGTATTGGTTTGAGCTCTCTACTCGGGATCCCTGGAATAAAACCAAAGTAGGTATACAAACATTATTGTTCGGCGTAATATAGAGTAATCCTATTTTTATATTTAACGTATTCGGCACTCATATACTTCACTTACGTCTTTACGATCGTAGTACGTGGCTTCATCGAAGTCGTTAACCTCGCAAACTAATCTAGAACCAACATCCGGCTCTGTGGCCATGTTCACGATCACACGCACCAGCTGTGAAAGAAAGAATTATGAACCAGGCATTTTGTTAGGATTGAATTACAGTTATTTAAAATTGAAACATCATATTCATTACTGTAAACAGCACGGGTGTGCTTTCATCACAGATAAAAGTACCTGAGTTAATATCAATCCACTCCCAAAAAGCACAGTGGCAATTACGTAGTAAAAATATTGCACTTCCACTGAGTGTTGTGTAGGTTGCCTAGCTCCTATTTGAAGGGGCCCCATTTATTGGAACGAATTGAAATAAAGTTGAAATGAGTTGCAATTTTTCATTGCATTGCATATTGTCTATCTTTTTGACACATGGAGCTCATATTGTTGATTATTGTTTAAAATCGGCATGAATCGACTAAATGATGTAAAAAAAATTGCAATATCATGGTAAAAAAATTAAAATTTTATTGAAATCAAATTGCAATTTAATTTCAATATTTTCGTGGCACTGTGCTACTTAGGCTCTACAGCAAATACTGTACGGCATATTTTCCCATGTAATCAGTTTATTTATTTATTTTAGGTCACATGAAAGAAACTGAAAACCTCGCTTTAGAGGAGCGTATTGTCAATATCACTTCATCCAATCCCATAAATTGAACCTTACGGGAATAACATAGATCAGTACCCCAGAGCCAAGAGGTACCTAACTCATTTAAGTCATTCCAATATATCAGGGAAAAACTGTGCGCCGGCCCCATTGATTCCAATGAAAATCGAAATATGTTAAATTCTGTATCTCATAACCGGCGTAAGATAGGGCTAAAAAATTTTCACACGCACCCAAAATGACACAAACTCGATTTTTTAAAAATTGTAAGTTTGGTGTCTTTTGGCTCTGGTGCACTGATATGCATACAACCCTTCATGAAGCAAGGGAAACAATTTCCCTCTCGATATTGCATAACAAATCCTACTTCGACACCCAAAATTTCAACAACTCCAATTGGTTGCCTGATTAATACAAATAATAAACCAATTACAAAATATTAAATATCGTCCCAATTTTATGTCTGTGGCCCCCCTCCACAACCACTCCCTAAATGCTCGTGGATTCTATTCTAAATGAAACAAAAGACGCTTTACACATCTTTGCAAAATATAATTTCTCCAATTGATTTTCATGGCAGCTTTGATCTGGGTTCTGGACTCTGATTTCAAATACGGTAATTCAGTTAAATTACCTTGACCATCACATCTTGCGACGAATCCCCATTTTGCTTGTTTTCTCGTAAAATGTTTGCTTGCGTTTCTTTGAAATCTCGTTGCATGTAGCTTGCTATCAAACCAATTAACACTTTGAATGCGTTCGGCTCTTCAAATAACTGCAAAGTTAATTCGATTAAAAGTTAGCTGATGTAACAACTGAGAGAAGTTGAGGAGAGTCATTAGTAGGATAAAGTAGCAAAATGAGGTATATTCAGTCCTTTAAACATTGCTTATTTTTGTTATTTTACAACCGAACCATATTACTTAAAATTACGATACAATTAATTTTCTACGTCATCTTAACTCGTGAGTATATGAGACAATTTTAAGATCCATGGCTTATGCAAAAGGTTAAAGCTCCTTGGCTTTCATACTGCCGTAATTTGGACGTATTTATGCTAAAAGGAATTATTTTGCACTGAAATCCAATGCACATAGTTCCTTTTAGCACAAATACGTCCATTTTTTCTTTTACATAATCATGAAACAGGGGGAATCTTACTACTCCACCTCTGAAATGAGAGATCTTTGTGGAGATATCAACCGTTTCAACGATTATCTATAAACGCAGACTCCCTAATGCTGAGGTGCATATGAGGTGAGAAACCTATTTTCATGGCAAAAAGAAGGTTTTTCAAATTGACATATTTTTTGGGTGGTGCGATAATTCACAAAATACTTGCAAATGGTGTAGATATACGTATGGATCGTGGAATTAAACGCTCCCTGTTGCGATAAACTTTACTTTAAGAAGCATTCAGTAGTTATAAAAGGTCCAAATGCACAGACCACGGTAATGACGTAAGAAAATGTCTTTACTTCTAAAATTCATGGGGGAAAAAAAAAGAAAGAAAAAAAAAATTAGTGCCGGTCTATATTATTCTAAACCACTAGTGTAACATGAATTTTGAAGGTAAGAAGCCTTTAAAAAAAATTATTGCTGCAAAATAATTTCCGTGATTTTAAGTTTTGAAATTTCGGTGGGCTCAGAAGTTAAAAGTTATTTGAACCTACCCGCCAATCGCTATACTTTGATTTACATCCTTTACCCATCGATGCACACCATTAAATGTTATTTACTCAAAAATATACTTATCCCGCACTTAAATTAGTTAGAATAGGCCAGGAATAGCAGTGATCGTTATTCAGATTCTTCGATGAGCGTCTAAAAAATTGCATTTTCCATAAGTTAATGAGCAATGAGCATTTTCGGCTGGAATCCGGTTCACCGGAAGGTCCTTAACCGACCGATGAGTAAGAACAAAGTTTTGATAATTCAATTTTAGACATCTTGAGGTCGAAATGGGGGGGGGGATAATATCCATAGTTGAAGTTTTTCTTTTAGAGGTACCAGGATTAACAAGTAAAAACATATTTTTCACCAATTAAGGTTTCCTAGAATGATGTTACAACTCCGTTTACCAATTCTGAGCCAATTGTTTTCTTCCTCATTGTTTTTCATTACACGACATTGAATGCGTAATATGTAGGCATGACAGAACATTATTTTCTCTTACCTGAAACCTGGCTACGCTACTGCACTCGAGGATGTTTCCCAGCGAGTAGGCAAGTCGAATGACAATATCTGAGCGTCCAGGAAACTTGTTGAACAATTCTATAAAAGTTGGGAGCATGCCGTACTCTAGAAGGACGTTCGCGCAATCCTTACGCACCGATAGAATGCTAAAAACCGTAAACAAAAATCACTGGAATCACTTAAAAAATGAATGATTTGAACGACACATCAAATCAGTTTAGGCACTCAGCCAGAGAAACAAACAGTCAGTTAAAAATGAAGTCAATAACTGAGCAAACTAGAGTTTAGGTTAGTTCCCAAGTAAAGAAAAATTTGCGGAGGAAATTCACTGGCAATAAGTTTCAAAATCAACTCCTGAAACAGATTCTAATATTTGTAACAGTGGTATAATTGCAGGGCCGGATTTACCTACTTGCCGCCCATGGGCCGCCTGTATTTTGCTGCCCCCTTCTCATTCGTTTTGAAACATCAATAAAAACCATCAAGTGAACGTGCCCGAAGGGGACGGGTGCATAAATCGCGTTTACCTGCTCGTGTTGGATACATTTCAAAAGTTGCAAAATTTCACTGAACTTGACGCGAAAGTTAAGTTCCGTAAACCTATCTCTGTGTGGACAAGGTCCTTCATTTATAAGAAATGAACCAAAAAATTATGAGAGAACAAACATAAATGTGGTTTAATAATTTTAACTTCCGCCGCTGCGCCGCGCTGATCACAATGTGTTTGGCGCAATGCGTGAAGTATTACTGCAGTCTTGTAGGCGCTATGTGTTTCACGCCAACCGCTCCAAACCGCACTGTGTTTGACGCGATGCGTGAAGTATTCATGCAGTCTTGTAGGCGCTAATATGTGTTACATGCCGACCGCCGCGCCGAGGGTTTCTCCTTTTCATCTCAAGCCCTCGTCATCATTCCTCTCTGCACTGAGCTCCAGGCCAAATTGCGTGTTTAGCTCCTCTCTGAACTCGACTAATTAAAGATACTGTCTCTTATATCACCGAAAAACGACAAAATTAGAAATTACTATACTCTCAGGAAAAAGAGATTTTGTTTGCTTTTCTTATTGATAATTTTTGTTCGTAATCCGATTTTTTTTTATACCTACATTTAAAAAAATTGCAAAATTTGCCGCCCCCTAAGTTTGCCGCCATTGGCCGCGGCCTATGTGGCCACCCCCTTAATCCGGCCCTGTGTAATTGGATTCCATTTTGCGAAAAGGAACCAGAAGCATTCCAATGTCGCTGAGATTGTGCGACTTCTTTTACCTTGCAAATATAAAGTGATCATCTAGACAGGTCTCAACTTTACTCCCTATAAATCATGGATTCAAGCAGAAAATTGCCGTAGTAAATTTGATTGTTTCGCATGATTTCAGTAATATTTGCAAAGTATGTAAGTTGCACAATCCCAGCAACGTTGAAATGTAATCGGTTCCTTTACGCAAAATGCAATCCAATTTGCGTTTCCTTTGATCAGCGTTAAGTATATTAGCAATTCGCAATCGCCAGCAGATTGCAATCTATTTGTGTTGGTTAGAAAAATGTAAACATTCAGGAATAAAGAAAAATGAAAGAAAGTACTGGTCATTGTGCTTGAAATCGATACATATCGACGGTATAGGTCAGCAATCACATAACTCAGTTTGCGACGTCGCAGACTTCCTGTCATACTTTATTTTTTAAACGCGGAAAACACTCAATGGCATTTCATTAAAACTGCCATGATTATTCTTCTCCGTGCCAAGAAAATTCTGCAAAAACTTCAAGGAATGATGCCAATTTGTGTCCTTTAAAAAAATAACATAGAGGCAGAGATTTTCAGACACCGCGAACGAGATACGTGATTGCGGACTTGGCCGTCGATATGTTATTTTTTTCTTGAATGTATTGCACTACTAGTTGGCACACTCGCGCATGTTTGTTGTGAAATCAGTGACTCTAGTTGGGTTTGGTTCAGTTAGGCAACTAAACTACCTCCGTGGCAAAGCAGAGCGTATCACTGGGAACTGAAGGCGCTCCAAGCCGAGATCAAAGGAAGCCGATGATTATTTTGTACCTGATGGTGCGGGCAATATTGGCGACCAGGTCGATGTCTCCCGAGAACAACCTTAACGTCACGCACAACTCTTGGAGCGCCCCGGTGGTGACAAAAAGGTGTGCCGCAGCATCCGCCACGTGCCGCAACGTACCCGTCAGCTGAAAAATGGCGTGGCTCGTCTGCTCCTGCATCTGAATTCCGTCCTCGTGCTGAAATTCAGCGCCAAGAAGTATAATTTATAAATTTTATATAAGACTTATCTGAATCTTAGCTCTTTTTATTTGCTCAAACTATTAAATCTAATTTTATTTATTTTTCTATTTTTATTTCAATCTTTAAAATTAATTACTATGAATTTTATTTTATTTTTAAATTTATGCTGTTTCCTTTTAGTATATTTTCATTTTTTCTTATTTTTATCTTTTGCAGATACTTTCGCATGTACTGTTTTAGGTGTTTGATTTTTCATGTCTCTTCGAGTAGCTCCAGAGAAGAAACTTACTTTATCCTTACATTCCCGCAATTGGCGAGTATGGACAACTCTATGCATTTAGCTCTTAGGACCCAAAGTGCGACAACGTGAAAAACGAAAATCACTAGAAAAGTGCCGCTGCCAACATGCATTTGAAAGATTAATCAATACGGCCGAAAGCGCATTGTACACGGAAAAAAAAGTGTCAGGGGTTATCCCCCAAAATTGTTCTACTACCCAAATTTGTTGGATGATATGGACATTTTCAATTAATTTTGGTAGCACCGCAACTCAAGTTGAGGTAGTACAGCAACATTTGGGTTAGTAACCTAATTTATTGGGATACTACCACAATTAATTGGGTTATTACCACAATTATTCGGGGTATTACCACAATTATTGATTGGAAATGTCCATATCGTCCAACAGTTGGGACTTTACCCCTACCTCTTTTTTTCCGTGTGAACAAGCATCTTTGAGTATGAAGACTTTGAAACTAAGAAAATGTATGCGGATTCAACATGTTTAACGTGCTTTTATAATTTATGAAACGGTGGATAGTAAGAATTATGAAAATTAGTACCACTGGATAATTCGAGTTCATTCGAGATTTTGTTATTTTTAGCTATATTTACAAGAATCAAGCATCAAAACACAATTCTGAGACCAGCGCAACTAACCAATTCTCATTGATTACTCATAGAGGAAATTAAGACGAGCAACACTGAATTTTAAAACTTTTTGGATGCTCCATGAAAATGATCAAGTTCGAGTAAGCGTTGATAAGTCGGGGTAAGGTACCTAAGTAAAGTGTACACTTCATAAAGTGGAATTTTAAAAGAGAACACTTCGTACCGCGGTATTGACAAGCTTCAGATGAAGAACCATGAGTTGGAGAACTCCCCGATCCAAGAGACTTTGTAGCAAGGTCGGATTCATTGTCAAGAACTTCAACGCCCCGTAAGCGTAGATCAGTGCCTCCGGATCTTCAAGAGGTGTTGTTAAACTCTCGATGAACAAATCTGTAAAATTTTCGATAAAGATGAATCAGTGGAATCTCACCCACGTTCCTGAAGTCTCTGAAAACAAACTGCTAAATCCGTACTACTCGATAAAGGAATTCCCAGGAGATCCGCGGTGTGAAGATTTTGTAGTGATAATTTTAAAGTTGTATATGGGTCGTAAAGAACTTTACGGTAGGCGAACCTATCTTAAACCTTACGCAATTTGTAAGTTTCGCAAATATTTTCTTCCGTGTTTTGAATAATTATACGTATGTGTACATCATTGCAATCCTTCTCAAGGACCTATATCTAAATTTATATTTCTGACATTTACTTGAGATTTGCAAAAATGGAAATGTCGTTATTTGATAACTAATCTCTGTCTGCGAGGCACTGTGACGGACAATAATGTCGACTCTCATAAGTTGGTAACATCCTTTTCCTCCATTTGAATGTATGTAAAACAATCGATTCTTGGTGAGGAGGCATGCAACCTAAATCGATATTTTTAATAGATATTAATAAAGTAAAACAGTATTGCCATCTCGCAAGATCGCCATTGGTGTCGTATTGTAATGCAGCTTTACACCATTAAATGACGCGAAAAGACACTAAACCGCTTGCAGCTCATTCTCTACGGCACGAAACAGTTATGAAGATCTAGTTTTCGACTCGACTTGACTGAAATCACTTTGTGGAAAATTCTCCTTCCGTGACCTGAGGGTATTTTCCCCGTGGACAGTCAGATCAGTGGTGAGGCGTGAATGGTTGATTATCGATATTTCTCCATTTGAAGCTACGGTAAAGAATCAATCTATGTGTTCGTTGCGAACACCCTGCTTATCGATCCTGTTCCATAGGTTTAAAGGGCAGATAAATCGATAAATCGTAAAGCATGCCACGCCACTGGATCAGATCATAGTGCCAGTCCAGCAGTTTATGAGCAGTTGTGAGATTTGCCTTCATTGGAAAAGATAGGCAGAAACGAAGTAACCAACCTAAAATGTCGCTGTGTAGAAATAGTTCGTCATTTTTGGCCGATCTCGTCACTTTGAAAATGAGCTTGCAAACTGATGATACGTTTGGCCCTTTTACTTTCAACTGAAAATAAGAATAACGGTTTCAAGGTAATAATTGGACGATGGATCGTTTTAATGCAAATTGTTTTAGCTGCATAACTACACTTACCCTGTATGTAGCAAGGTAAAAATGTAAGGTCTGATAAACCTTTCGACTCTCATTAAAATATTTGCACCCTGTACATACAATTCAGACTTACGTATTCAATTCTGTTCCTAGTGTATTTTTCTTGCTTCCATTCACTTCCTCCATTCATTGCTTTCTCATTCCATTTTCTGACCGAAAGCCAAGTAATTTACCTTCTTGGAAGTGTATATGGATTTCCACCGGATCAAAAGAAATACGTTCAAAATTTTTAAGACAGAATTAGATCAGGTGAAATATTTGTAAGCTGCTTGTGATATCAGTTCTGTCTATTGGACTGCATGCGTTTTTCAACAAGGAAATGCTTTTTTCGGCTAATTTTAGCAACAACATTTACGACAATACATTCCCTACATAGATAAGTGTTTTTATGGATGAGCCAGAGGTGGAAATTCCTTATGGTAAAATTTTGTCCAAATTACATTAGATGAGCAGCCTCCAACTGATTTTTCTCATTCTGCTCTGTTATAAATGCAATCTTCTAAACTTTTACTCTACTACTCTACTATAACTTACTGAATCATCAATAACAATTTTAATGAGAGTAGCCTGAGAAAGTATTCGAAGTATTGAAGATGGTTACATCATTTTGTTTTAAGAAAACAAGATCGAAACTTTCCTGTCTAATTTTCGCGTTTCTCTCAAAATCCACAAAAGGTCGTGAGGCGGGAAAAAAGGGAGGAAAATAAGATGATAGAAAATACATACTGCTAATGATATGTGTGCGATTTCCAACAACACTGGATCGGTGCCATTCTCGACGAAAGAGTAAATATTCCTGAGAACCTTTGATTTTAATTTTGAGTGAGGACAATATCTGCTCGTAAGGCCCTCTTCCTTTAGTCGCAGGTACAGAGCAGAAAAAAGTTCTAGCGTTTTAATTTCGTCTATATTCTCTGAAAAAAGCGGTTAAATGGATATGAAGTCTATATAACTATGGATATTTTTAAAGCCTAGCTATTGCCTAGCTGCTGAATGTGGATTTTAGTCATTTAAACCAAGAATACCATAAAGTCACATTGATAGTGTAGGTGCGTAAGATACTCGAATTAAAGTAGAGTTTTAACCGCTTTTGGAAATCTTACGAACGTTATTCTATGATACGTATTTTGCTGTTCAAGATACCTTCCTTTGTACGTGTGTCCAGGGTCCTCCAACATACGGCCTCGGATGGACCGCGTTAAGCAGAAAGGAACCAAGCCACATTAGCTATTGCCAAATTTAATTGGGCAATTTTATTTTTTACATGAAAACGGTTGTGCGGATTTTTGTATAAATCTCAGTGAATTTTCTGCACAGTGCGAAGCAAATTCCTTAAAACTTCAAAATAATCCGCATAAACGTTTACATTGTTTCTTGTGGATGTGCAGCTTTCTACAGCACACCCCATATTTCCCACACGTCTCTATAACTTATAGTGCAGTTAAGCAGAATTACGTTGAATTTTGCATCTTGCTAAGAAGAAACTTACTGAGCATTAGCAGGGCCGGATTTACCTACTTGCCGCCCATGGGCCGCCTGTATCTTGCCGCCCCCTTCTCATTCGTTTTGAAACATCAATAAAAACCATCAAGTGAACGTGCCAGCGGGGGAGGGGTGCATAAGACGCGTTTACTCGTGTTTGACACATTTTTTGGGAAAGTCCTGTCAACACTACTAGCAAAAGTTTACGGAACTTTGCGCGAAAGTTAAGTTTCGTAAACCTATCTCTTTGAAGACAAGGCCTTCCATTCATAAGAAATGAACGAAAAAATTATGAAAGAACAAACATATATGTGGTTTAATGATTTTAATATCCGCCGCGCCGCGCAGACCGCACCGTGTTTGGCGCAATGCGTGAAGTATTCCGACAGTCTTGTAGGTACTATGATTTTCACGCCGACCGCTGCTGAACGCACTGTGTTTGACGCAATGCGTGAAGTATTCATGCATTCTTGCAGGCGCTATCCGTTTCACGCTGACCGCAGTGACCATATTGTGTTTGATGCATGCAATGCGTAAAGTATTCGTGCAGTCTTGTAGGCGCTAATATGTGTTACATGCCGATCAATCGCCGCGCCGAGGGCTTCTCCTTTTCATCTCAAGTCCTCGTCATCATTTCTCTCCACGTCGCGCCATTCCAAGCCAAATTGCGTGTTTGGTCTCTCTCTTAACTCGACTAATTAAAGGTTCTGTCACTCGTATCACTGAAGAACGACAAAATTAGAAATTACTATACTCTCAGGAAATGAGAGATTTTCTCGCCTTTTTTCGTTTGTAATTTTTTTTCCTAAATCCGATTTTTTAATACCTACTTTTAAAGAAATTGCAAAATTTGCCGCCCCCTAGATTTGCCGCCATGGGCCGCGGCCCATGTGGCCACCCCCTTAATCCGGCCCTGAGCATTAGATTAGGTGTCTTTCTTCTTCGATATGTACTGTTGAAAATCGAGGGGTGAAATTTGGTGTCGAAGTCTATTTATAGCTCCCAAAAACCCCGAGTGACATGAATGAGAAGTGAAATTAGCACCATAAAAGCGTATGGCACTCCGCAAAAAGAGTAGATTCCGCTTTGAAATAGTGTAAATAACTCCGTAAGAGGTAATTTCCGCTCCGCATTGAAATCAATCGGGGTTTATGAGACTCCGGCATAGAATTTCACTCCAAAATATTTGACAGTGTAGAAAAAATAATATTGCAAGTTTAAAAATCTCGCGTATACAACGTGAAGGAATCAGGAATGAATTTTAAATTGTAGGTGCACATGCTTAGAGAGCTACCGTCAACTATTTTTTTTAAAGGATGCTTTTGATACTCTGAGACTTTTTGTAAATATATCAGCACTCGTTACGTACCATGATCGAGGGATTTTAGTTCGGAAAGGATTTTTTCCAGAGAGAGGAGACTGTCAACTCTTGGTGAAGGTATGGAGGTCTGGTTGGACCCCAAAGCACGAGCCTCATTGATGCAGTTATCAAAACTAGCCAGATCCGTCACATCCTGGATCCTTTTGATGAAACACTCCTGCTGCGAAGAAGAATAGTAAACGGATCTCAATAGGCAAGGAAACAAAGAAAGAGAAGAACAAAAAGATGGTGCTGCTCAGCAGTAAAGTTTGATCTCAAGCGTCAGGGCTGCAATTTTTATGATTTATAAAATATTTGAATTTCTTGTAGAACATTTATTGAAATTTCAGAAATGTAAGAAATTCAAAAAGACGCTGCGAATATAAGGTTTTTCGACTCCAACGTTCACTGGGAAAAAAATTTGCTTGGGTCTAGAGTCCAGACAGTTAAAAAAATTGACAAGAAAAAGTACTCTTAATTCAATCGGATATTTGCTTGAATCTAAAGGAAATCCGCTTAATTTAAGAAGCTTGGTTCTTCGATTCAAGAAAAAATCCGATTGAATCAAGAGTATATTTTTTTTTTGTCAATGCTTTTAAAAGTCTAGACTATCTAGATATAAAAGACTTTTTTTCCAGTGTTGAAGAAAGATTATAATGCAGGTAATATCATTCGGATATATACAGCTACAATTGTACATCATATCGATGGTGAAACTGCAGAAATCGTCGGTCTTCTGACGTAAAGGCGTATCTCATTTTCCATGTGAGCCCTGTTCCACATATAAATCCATGCTTTCCGGGGCTCATCCAGAAATCCAGATACGTCCTTACGTCAGAGGAGCGACGAAATGCTTATCTCGTGCGGCGTTGCAGATATCCCAACATATATGGAAGTAGTTGTGCTAAAAGGAACTATATATCACGCACAGGCTCGGACTGGCCACAAGGCCAATCTGCCATTGGCAGATACGCCCCATTGGCGCGCCGAAAACGCGCCCCTCTGACTGATGAAGAGAAAAAATAAAAAGAAATAAGAAAAGAAAAATACGAAGAGAGAAAAAATTATGACCGAGAATATACGCGGAAAATTTCTTAAATGACCGGAAGAAGAGAGAGTTAGGGGTCAAGAACCCCCGCATGACAGCTTCACACATGATAGAGGTGAGAAAAGGTCTAAGAACCACTTTCTGAAGCGAAATCACTTTTCTGTGAAATTTTCATTTGTTGACATACAGACGCTTTATCATCCCCTTTCTTCATTCGCTATGTGTAACTCCCTTAGAAGTGATGGTCGGTTTGATTTTTAGACATACGCACCCTTCATAGACCTCTTGAGAGACCTTTAAACATATTTCTCTTTTCAAAATGACTATTGATTTGGACATACCACAGCATATCTCGGGCAAACTTTACCTTAATTTATCTCGAAATTAAAAAATAAGAGACATCTAAAATGTAAACGCGATACAACTATTCGCGCAAGATGGATGTCCATATTATGAAACATGATATGAAAAATGTAAGACGAGATGGCGTATGAGTCGTGAACTCGCAATGCTCTGCTCTATGCATGCTACTAGTTTGAAGCACCATTACAAATAAGACAAAAGGAAACAAGCACAATCTTCTATACTATAAGCTCCAAGACCTCCTAATTTTGCGAAACTGGTAACGCTTAGTTCCAGCGTTCTACCGGGCCGATTTTCATGATTTTTGCGGTTATCGACGGGCAATTGTCTCTAGATTAGCCAACTTTTTTCAGATTTTCAAAATATGGCCCAGGTTTTTTTATATTACGTGGTAAAGTTGCGAATTCTCCCATTTAAACAATGTAAATTTATACTTTTTGTCATAGTTCGTTTGAGCGTTCTACCGGGCCGATTTCCATGATTTTTGCTTAAATCGAGAGGTAATAAGCCCTAGATGAGCCCGCTGTAATCAGATTTTGGAAAAAGGACCCAGGTTTTTTTAAAATCACGTTATAAAAGTGAGTGAGTTTACAGAATGCTCCGGTACTGCTACCGCTATGCGCGGGAGGATGCGCAGTGGTCGAGGAGGTTGCGCAGTAGGTGGGTAGCCTGCGCATCAGCTCTACACTTATCTACACAAGTTTCGCACCAACGACTTCACGTTGAGCGGTGGCCAAGTCGTCTAAGACGACGAGTGCGTCTGTATGTTCACGATGCGGGTTCGATTCCCGATTCATGCAGTCTTAAATATTATCTGACTATCATTGTTCATTGTTTTACTGCAATATTTCATCAAGCAGTCATTCCAAAACGCGTCCTTTTAATCTTAAAGTAATTTTAAGTATAAAGTTTAAAATTAAAGTATATCTCATATCGTAATTTCTTAGGGGAAAAATAAAACTAACACTGATAGGAGGGTAAAAATAGGGCCGCGAAGCGGCCCATTGATGGCGCGGAGCGCCTTTAGGGGGTTGGGCCGCGTAGCGGCCAGGGGGCGTAGCCCCCTAGTATACAAATAGAGGGAGAGAAAGGACGCGCGTTCACGACGGCGCAGAGATACAACTATTCGTACTTAATGGACGTCCATGCTGCATCTGAAAAATTGAAGGCGCGTGACGCGAAGCGTGAGCTCTCAATGCCCTGCTAGAATTCGGGAGGAAAGTTAAAAAAGACGCCCGAATACTTCTCTCCTGTCTTCGGCTGTGTTGATACTCGTTCTTTCTTCTTTTTTCAGGTTCTTGTCTGATTCTTTTTTAAGGATGGATTTGCAGACCCACGCCTTAAGCTCGTGTATACCGCAGCACTGGCTCGATTCTTTTGGAAATAACGGTGCTTGGATGCGTCTAGTAGCTTTAATTTCTTATGTTTTCTTTAATTTCAGGAGTCTGCCGGTTACCTCAATACGTTCAATTTTGCAATTTATACTCTGTACGATTAAACCTGAAAATAGCGTAAACTTGTGCTGCTTTTCCAAAATTTTTTGAGCCCCTCTCCACGTAGGGGGTGCCCTATCAAAAAATGTCACATTACGCCCCTTTATCAAGCCAAGGGTCTGCGCCCTCAGATGCGAGCCAGTCCGACCCTGATCACGCAATCCCTATGCACATGGCTCCTTTTAGCATAAATACGTCCTTAATTTCCTTAATTTTCTACATTGAAAACCAACATGAACGTCGTTTTTTGAAAACTCTGGAGGTTTCTCCGTGTGAAAAATATTCTGTGAAAATTTCGAGCGATGATTTCGGTTTGGGCTCCTTCTAACAAATACAATAGAAGCGGAGATGGTACAAAACCGCCATCGAGATACGCATTTTTGCAGTTTCACCGTGTATATGTATATTTGCTTTTCATGTTCCTTATTGCACATAGATCGTCCTTTATTTCCACTAATTGTGTTTCTGAGCGCGGGGTGCATATCCTAGCCCCTCAAAAATATGAAATAGTTCAGTCACATGATTCCATGAAACATTTCACATGTTCATTTTACTTGTGCAGCCCTGATGAGCGTTTACTGAAAAGTAGATTCTGAAAAATCCACCACATCGGAAGATGCTAGAAGCAGGTAAAAATTTCTAGGCGGAAGCTTCCCTCCAAAGGGGAGAGCCCTGCCCGTTCTTCGAAATACATAGTTTATCAGGGGAAATTTGGCAACTCTCGAAGGTTCATACGGCGTTCTTCCTTAGCACGGCGGAGCTCCAGTGACAAGGCGTGATTAATCGATCATCGATATTTCCCCATTTGAAGCCGTGGAGAAGAATCGATTATTAAGGTTTTCGTTGCGAACACCACGTTCATCGATCCTTTCCCATGGGTTTAAATGGCAGATCCATCGAGATATCGCAAAGCACGCCACGCCACTCGAAAGTTCCCTCTCAAATCCCCAGTCGGAAGCAGTGGCGTGGCGTGCTTTGCGATATATCGATATTACCCCATTTGAAGCTACGGTAAAGAATCGATCATTAAGGTGTTCGCTGCGAACACCCTGTTTATCGATCCTTTTCCATAGGTTTAAATGGCAGATCAATAGATATATCGCAAATCACGCCACGCCACTGGTCGGAGACACTTACGTTCGGCATGGCAGGGTCAAAATCCTCCGCAGAGTAATCTGGCTCCATTGCGGTGGGGTTATCAGGGTGAGATATGCTCAAGATCTCACTGGAGGGATTTCCCGCGCTCCTGGGGAGGGTGCAGCTTCGAGGTCCTGTCTCCGCATCCAGGGATCTCGAGCTGGTCAAACTTCCTCTCGATCTGCATTTTGGGGCGCAATATGAGTGACTAGGGATGCTGCTGTCATCTTTTTGGTTCTCAAGCTCCTCTAGCACTGAAAAAATGCGGAGAAACAACACTGTGTCACTAAGAAGAAAAGAGATGAAAACTGTATGGCTTGTATGGTAGGGTACCTATGTAAGGAGTGTGCGGACATATCGAAATATGGAGCTCTTAAGGCCCAAAGGGCAAAAGTGCAGCCAATCTGCTAACGCTAAAAATCCTCCATCTGCCAAATGCCAATCTTCAGATTCCAACATCAAACCAAGATGGCTGAGAATGTTCATAAATGAGCGTTCTTGTTCTTCCGCATAAATGAGTAAATTCATGCAAGAACTAAGTCAAATACGTGCTTCACAAATGATGGGTTGTGACGATTGTAATAATAAATCACTCTGAATATATAGAATTCAAAAGTTGGCTGCTCTTTTGGGGTTTAAAAGCTCCACGACCTAATTAAATTATACCAAAATGTACGTACTCTCCCCGTATAGGTACTACCTCTTGTATAGAATGGGAACTCTGACAGATTTTTCCTTGACCGCACCCACCGGNGGGGGGGGGGGGGGGGCGCAGATCGGGAGCAGGGTTGCACAAGTGAAATGAAAAATATGAAACATCGGAAATCTCCATGAAATATTTCATAAAATTTTACAAAGTTGGATATATAATATGCAAAATGTATGAAGCATAGTTTCAGGGGCTGGTATTGCAACACGCACTAATATACGCCAAAAAGCGAAAACCGTTTGCCTTTCATTAAATTTTGCATTTAATTTCGACAAATATTTCTCAATATATTTCATATTTCTCTGAGATATCATAAAATATCTCACATGAAATTTCAAGATTTGATTTTTCATGAAAAATTGCAACCCTGGTCGGAGGGGAGATGGAAGAGGTATTTTTTCTGCAAGTNGGGGGGGGGGGGGGTTAATTGAGAAACTGCATCAATCATTACTTACAATTATCCAGGGAACTGAATAGCTGTTTACAATGGTGCGTTTTTCTGATCGCAGGTAACTTGCATAACTTGGTTCTCTGCGTCATGTTCGGCACCGAGGTCAGGGTTTTCTGGGAAAGCGAAGGCATGGATGGTAGATTTGGCAACGCATCGATTTCGAAAAACCGCACATGTCGCAAACTGGAACACGAATGGAGCCCTCAGAGAAAACGTTCAAGAGTAAAGCATAGATAGGATTAAGTATGAGGGACTTATGTACGATGGGAGTAAAGAAGGAAAGATCCCATCTGAAAATGTTCGACATTTTGGGAGATTGATTCCCTCCCTACATCACTGGAAATTAAATTTTTGCCCATTTCTTTTTGTATATCTGGATGTGGCTGAAAACTAAAAAAAACTATGGTTTGAGCAACAGTAATATGAGAATGGTGATCACTAACAGACTTTTCGGTAGCAAAGACCGTAACTCTGGTAGCATTCGTCGAAATGGACGTACTTCTATCAAACGGAACTGAGCGCCATCGGGGGAGGAAGGTAGGGTAGAGGGGGGCTTGGATTGGGGGCGAAGCCGGGCGTCAGGCTCATTCCGTCCTATACTCGCAATGTTTTTCCATGGCGCTTAGTTCCTTTCGACAGAACGCGCTATCCGACATTCTAAATTCCTCAAAAGGAACTCAAATTGGCGCTAAGTTCCGTTTGACAGAAAAACGTCCAAATGATGGTTAATGGTACCAGCTTTTTGCCATCTGATCTTTGAAATTGGCTGACAAAACGATAGACAGAAGAGACAAAGGGAACAAAGCGATTCCTTTAGTCGAAACGAGTGATTCTCATAGACCAGGGGTGAAATGATGAACTAATTAAATGGTCTATCCATGGGTTGTTGTTATTTAATCTATTACTTATACCTCCTTTGTACATTGCAACTACCCGCTTCCACCAATAGGATAGCTCCATTTTTCCATTTTTGTCTTCATTGTCTATTGCTTCGTTTATCAGTTTCAAAAATCAGCGAACCGTCTATCTTGACCCTACAGTATCACTGTGTTAAAGATTAAGTAGACTTATGATAGAATTTACCATACTTCTGGTAAAATTTGCCGTGCTTTGTTTCAATGTGCGATTGCCAGTCTCGTCGAAAGGGGGACTTTCTGTCGTTTTGATCCTCGACTAATCAAGCATTGACGGAGAGACCATGCAAAAACGCGTATCTCATTTCCGGTATTTAGAATCTCCGCTCATTTTTAAATTTATCAAAGGACAGTCGACTAATACTTTTGCCATTTTATGCATCATAAGAGAACGACTCAACATCACAGCTTGAATGTTGCACAAGATATTCTTCTCGCAGAGCAGATAAATAAAAAACGTATTCAAGAAAAGTAGTTTTCGATTTAAAAGTAAATTATGACAGGAACTGCATTTCCATGCTAAAAATGGGGCATTTTCGATAACTATTTAACAACGACCCACTGTCAAAAGAGATTCCTTTGATTCCTACCCCTTCTTAATAAACAATTAAAGAGTTTCATATACTACGAGCTCAGCATGCGAAGGTGAAGGTAATAAATAAGGTTAAAAATAAAAAGAAAAGAAAAGGACGCTGAAGAGCCGCTGCTTGCAGACCGCTCAAACGTAGCATTTGCGCCGCATATCGCACAGTCTCCAATAACATTTTGGATATACTTAGTGGCATCCCCCCAACCGATTTGTATGTTGAGTCCAGATGCAGGCAATTTAGCGGTGAACCTAAACCCCAAGTGAGGGCGGATATTATTGAGAGGTGGGCCTCTAGGCTTGACAGTGAACCTGAGTCAGACATCTGGTTTAAATCTTTAATCCCTGACCTGAGAAGCTTCCTTCTTAGACCCTTCGGTGACACTAATTTCTACATGACTCAGTTCTTTAGCGGTCATGGCAGCTTTTGCGACTATTTATTCAGATTCAAAATTCTTAACAATAATCTCTGCCCTCTCCCAGGATGCAACTCACCCGACTCGCCTGAACACACTTTCTTCCATTGCCCTTTTTTTTCCACCGATAGAATCCTTCTTGAAGCTAAGCTTGGCTCGAATTTCACCCTTTTTAACACTCAAGACCTCTTATTATCATCCCAAGAGAACTGGAACTGCATCTCGTCTTTTGTAGAACAAGTTATTAGGTGCAAAAACAACCATATGTCCCACCCCCCCCCCGCCGATGGTATACATAGATGTAATTCCGGCGCGACCTTGACTCAAGGAGTCACATAATCCATTAATACTTTTCTATTACCTTGTTATATATTGCATTGTTAATATCTTTCTTGCTCTGAACCTATCTATTATTATCACACTTACATATACTGCATTTGTTGCAGGTCATTTATATTTTCTTGCATTTTCTAATAAAGGTCGTTAAAAAAAAAAAAAAAAAAAAAAAAAAAAAAAAAAAAAAAAAAAAAAAAAAAAGAGCCGCTGATAAAATCCTTAACGCTCCTGAGGGGTGAAAGGAAAGTGGGACTGCGTTACAGAAGAGAGGGGAGGGGAGTCTAAGAGGAAGGCTGTTATGTCCATACTCTCTGTAAAACGGCACTCTACATTTTATGCAAATGCATCTCGCACAAAAAAGAAGAAAAAAAATCATCAATGGCTTACAAAAATGCGGTACATTTGCAGAAATGTGGTGCATGAACTGAAATGCATCGCATTATAAGAAATGCAGTGCATTTTCCTAAATGCATGTGCGATTTTTTTCTTTTCTTGCACGAAGTGCATTTGCATGATCATGTCAGTTGATCTGTAAAATGACCAATTGCAATGTGTTGCAGCGAGCATCCTACGGTTCATCAACAGGCTCCTGACGATTCTCGATCGGCCGGTTGTTGCGACCATGATCTGGAACCGCCAAAATGTGCCCGAAAATTAGAAAATTATGAAAATATCATAAAATCTAAAATTTTTCTGTTAGAAGGGTCGCTGGTTTCAAATCCATACATAACATTAATTCGGCGACTTTTTAATATGCAAGATGATGGTGCGCCCTCTCATCCAAAAAATCAGGGATGAGCTTTCTTTTATTTTCCTCACAAGGGGAACGGGGGGAAGGGGATTAAAAATTCCGAAAATGTGCGTCACGTGATTTATGAACGATCCCTTAGCACTCAAGACCTTAGGCCTTAGGCTTAAGGACAGGCAAGCGGGCGTCCTCACCTGGCCTGTATGAAAAAGGTCAAAAATACATGAGTTGGAGGGAGATAAAAGAGTAGGGAGGGATGGATAAGTGAACAGACCTATTTTCATTAGCAAACCGGCGACCGTTATCGTGGAACGGCTTTCTCTTTCGTGTGCATGTACCGTTTTTACCTGGGGAACCCAAAAAAAGGGGAAATTTTCGAAACTGAAGCCACGCCTTTGGGGCGAATAAGGAAACCGTTGAAAAGCTCGAGAGCTCGGAAGTTCTGATGGCCCGAGTAGTTGCAGTTGAGTAGCCGTGGCGTGGGTGTGCGAGTGAAGTGGTTGAGAAAGTCCGTAGATTACAAAGTTAGAATCATTTTGAACTTCTAATATGAGATTGTGAAATGTCTCCTGCTACACTGTCAGAAATTGTACTCATCTCCGGTCCGCGTGTAAAAACTTTAGAGAAAAAGGTTAATGTTAAAAACCGCTCGTGAAAAATTGCAATTGAAGTGCATTACCATCAGTTTGGTTTGTGTTCGGTGTTTCATTTCAGTAATTTATTTCAGCGAATTTTCTCGCGAAGAAAAGCGATGATGTGAACAGTCGAACAACCCTGCCCTCCGCTAGTTTTTATCTGCCGAAAGTTCGGAGTATGCATGCACGGAACTGAAGGATCCTACATAAGGACATCGTGTGAGGTAAGAACTAATATCTGGATCACAATTTCAAAATGTAGATTTTGAAAGGTAGAAATTTTACCTGGCTCTTCCTACCAACGACTGCTAAGAACTTTTAGAATAACTCGTATTATTTATATTTTGTAATGTATATTTTTTTTCAGCAAAACAACTCTTTATTTATGGCGCATTAACAAATTTTTGGATCGAAATTTCATGAAGTTCCACGCATGACCAATTTTTATAGTTAAAAAAACTAAAAATTCCGCACTGAAATGGTTTTCCAAGGAAATTGGCTACAGATCTTGGCTTTTAAGTCCTTTCCCTATCAGTCACATCGGCTCCATCATTATAGCGCATATTAGCTCATGAGAGGCAGACCCCCCCCCCCCCCCCCCCCCC